TGTAGGTAAATTTCAACAGTGCGAGGAGCTGTACCTGTAACGGATGGACAAAATCGCATTTTGAGGGGAATTGCAACCGTCTCGAGAGAAATTCAACCGTTCTCCGAACCGTGCGCTTTGGGACCAGGTCGGGCGCTGCTATGGCGACGCGCTTCGATGTGCAGTTTCGCAGCTTGGCTCGGCTCGGCGTCCATTCCACCCCACCCACACCGCCTCGTCTGCCTGATTCCCGAGTTCTTTCAACCACAACCGCCTCTCACATTTTGGCTTGGTTCGCTCTCATTTCATTTCACGCATCTCAAGTTCGGTTGAACACCAGGGCTCAGGATAGCAGGGCGCTTTACCCTGTTTGCCCTGCATTTCAGGGTGAGTGTTTAGGACAACCCTGCTAAAATTGGGTTTGAATGTTCCTCCACCCTGTCACTGGCTGGCAAGGCTCGAAAACCACCCAGCCAATGCAGTTATCGGCCGATGTGCGACACTGCAGTGTTCGAGTTCGTTTTGGCGCACGCCCTGCCAAAATTTCCCTTGTACAGATTGTCGCGAGTTGCTAGGCGTAAATTTGTGTTTTTAGTGAAATTCCCAAAATTCGTCTAAGTACTTGACACCTCACACAAACCGGGTCCATCCACCCCAAAATTCGTCGAAGTACCTCACCTCACTCATGTCGGTCACGTGACTTCACCACCTCACACGACGACCCCACCACCAGACCACCCCACGATGAGTCTCAGGTCAGTGAGCAAAGGGAGGGAGTTCCCTTGAAGTCGACTCTGTTTTTCCCTCCCCGCCTTTTCCTGACATTGCCGCTCACAAAATTGCAAGGCAGTGTGAAAAAATAATACACACTGTCATATACGACCTCTTAAAAAAAAAACACTGCTATTTCTTGGGTATGGCTGCCGGGCCACACTGCAGAGGCAGGGTGCTGTGCATCCCAACTCTGATAAGACAGGGTACCCTAAAACGAATCCAGAGCCCTGGTGAACACAGTCCCACTTTCTCTCTGACTAATTCCACGACAACTGGAAGACGTCGGGACCAGGGGTCTCGATTCGTTTTGGGCCACCCTGTGGAATCAGAGTTCGGGGTCAAAATCTTACTGCCGCTGCAGTGTACCTGATGCGGCGCACCCTAGAAATGGCAGGGTGTTCAAACATGTTTCGTCTGATCTGGCAGGGTGGAAAAAAAAACTACGCTGCTGTGGTGTAGGGTCTAGGAAGGAAGGACTTCCACTCGGATCATGAACAACAAGTCACTGCGCCATTTGACGCCTGTCCATCCTTGACGTGGTGTGAGTGTGTCATCGTGTCAAGCACTTAGCCGATTTTCGAATTTTCTGGTGAAAATGACGGGAGTACACGAAGGGACAAAGGTTCGCAGACTGGGTCCGCCACTATCGAACTCGGCCAAAGGCAGTGTGTTACGAATACTAAAACTGCAACATAAGGGTGGTTTTAATACGTGGCCGGATGGTGACAGGGTGGTACAGAAACCGAATCCTGTATTTACAGGATGGTCACAAATAATCACCCTGAAAAACAGGCTAAACAGGGTAAAACGCCCTGTAATCCTGAGGCCTGGTCTGGACTTCCGTATTAAGCTAGCTTGATACTGGTCCGTGCGTGAGCTTGAAACAAAACATTAACGCCTGCTACAACTCCACTGCAACTTCCTTCCACCCCTGGAAAAGCCCAAGCCAGCGTTTCGTGTGGAAGCTTGAAAGATTTGGGGCGGCTTGATTTTGTACCGCTGCACGCGCTTAGTTGCGCCTGTTCGCTTGCGTCCATCTAGAAACCAGCCCTGAATCCCAGATCTGCTCTCAAGGCAGCTAATAACACGCTAGACTGTGTTCATAGGGCCCTGATATCACGCTGACCCGAGCCTCGATACAGTTCTATCCGCTCCCTTAGTGCTGAATGGAAGACAGCTGCTTTGGTTTGGATCCAAAAAATACGACCTGGCCTTTCGGCTGTGGGGGCTTTGCGTGTGTGGGTGGGTGGGGAAAGGAAGGGGTGTGAGGGGATGTGGAGGGGTGAGGGAGGGATGTCTGGGGAAAGTGGGGTGGGGGGGAGAGACACGCGTCCATATGCTGCGGACACTCTAATCCCTCATGCATTCCCTTCGCTGTGCTGCTGCTGCAGCCTTGCTGACTGAGCCTTTCAAGTCCTTCCATCTGCGCGGAAAGTCCTCGACTTCTTGACATGCCTCCTCTCCCAGCTACACCTAGTCCGCGGTATTTTAACCGCCGCTATCGTAACTGCGCGAGGGCACTTCTCCTTGGTCAAACTTGTTTAAACGAGTAGTTTGAAAATTAATGAGGGTAGAATCTAGCATCCCCGTCGCGAGATCACGGCAGTTAAAACTCTGCCAATACCGATATGCCCCCTATCTCGGACCACTAAGTGTGCGTTTCTTCAGACGGAAAGGCATCCCGCTGTAAAATAATAACCTCGAAGTCTCTGGGTACCCATCTCATTACCCAAAAAACGAATAAAGGGTGTTTAAAACAAAACAGTTCACGTGGTTAAAATACCGCGGACTAGGTGTATTACAAGACTTACAACCTCTCCCTCCTCGCGTCGCCCCCTTTCAACCTCCAATCCAACCCAACCCAACCAACCTCCCCACCAACAGCTCTAGTTCGTCTCTAGTGCTCAGATCGCCTCCAGTTGCAACAGCAACCAATCGAGGCTGATCTGAACTGAAACCTTCGTCCGTCTCGTAGTACAGCGGGTCCCGCGGCAATCTGTCGGACACATCCATTGCCGACGATCTTGTTCTCGTTGCAAGAAATCCAAGCAGTAGCATTTCTCGCCATGAGTAATACGACGTGCTATAATGCCGGACATGGTTCCGTTGCAGTTACAGAACGGCCTCTGCTGCTGATGGCGCTGGTAGAAATTACTCGCACGCAGCCGCAACCGCCCAGACCGCCCAGACCGCCCTGCTTAACGTCGCGTGATGCTGTTGCTTCGGCTGCTCGCATCCTCGCCGTCGGAACCGCTTCGATCAGACCGCGAGTAGAAGCAGCAGCAGTTGTAGTAAAGATAGAGCGCTCCGAATAATATTTTTCAAGTTCCACGAGGTCACAGTCACACTGCGTGACCGACGACTGTTCGAGTCTCCGCGCGGTTGGCGGATCGGCAGCAGCAGCGGCAGACTGCAGCAACTTGCTGTTGAGCAGCAGCAGCAGCAGCACCAGTAGGAACAGGAGGAGTAGGAGGAGTAGGAGCATCCCTCATGCTTACTCACTAGGCTACTGCACCGCATTGCACACTCCGAGTTAAGCCATGGTGTGCCGGAATGCGGCGTTCCGAACGCATCTGCATCGCCGCGGCGGCAGCGTAATAGTCCCCACGGTCTTACTACAAAAATTTGACGGGACTTCGACACGATCGCCGGCTAGAGACTAAGAATTCTACTAGCACGCGTTCAGATAATTCGAATCATGACGTCGATTAGTATGGGCGATGGCGTTTAAAATTACCACCACCGGAACCATTGGTGCTAGTAGGTTGTGGCATCGGCGGTTATTTTCAATAGAAGAGTCCTCAATTCAGACCTCGAAGGCGGTTTCCTCTGAAGCCTGAACTGCCTCTCTCGTTGGCCCAAGAGCCTCTCGATGTTGTGATCCGTCGTAGTGTTTTATTGGCGTGTGAGTTACACCATACCGCTGCCGCTGCTTCCTGATAATCCCGCCGATTGAGGTGCTTTCTCCCTGGTGGTATTACTAGAAGGAAGCTTACTTACAAACTGTGTTTCCCTCAGGCGCTACGCGCTACGGATAGTACTACTTATTACTTTGGAACTGGGCCGTTTTCCTGAGAGAATTGCGTACTAAATTGGATTCCTCAAACACGGCCGCGACGGCCCTGACGGGCGCAGTTGACGCTCGCCCGCTGATGTCTCGATTATTATCTGACGGCTGCAGCGACTCGCTGACTCCGTCGGACGGAGATTAAAAGCTCCGTAACTTAACCAACTGACTCAACGGCCTCGTTCTGCTCTCTGACGCGAGCTTTAGGTGATATTTACTCCCTCCGTGATTCACGCTAGCAGTGCAACGTGATTCACACTAATAACGCAGCGTGTGGTGGCGCGCAGCCTTGGAATATTACTACCAGCTGTCCCTATTTTCTCTACTGCTACTACCAAGGTAATAGTACGAATAATCTGCGTTTTTCGCCATGCACGATGATCATCACCACGCGACAGCCGCGTCGGCGTCGCCACCGTCGCCCAAGTCGCCCGCCATGGAGGGTTGCGCCGGCGGCGCAGCGTCCGCCGCGGCGGGGAGCCGCGGATCCGCGGTGAGCTCGGGGTTCCGCAAGCCGTTTCAGCGATTCTACCGCGCCATGCTCGGCGGCAGCAGCAGCGGCGGCGGCGGCGGCGGCGGCGGCGGTAGCTCCTCCTCGTCGTCGTCGTCCCACAAGAAGCTGTCGCCGCAGTCGTCGTCGTCGCACGCGTCGTCGCAATCTTCGTCGTCCCACTCCTCACCGCACCAGCAAGCACGCCTGCAGCAGACGCAGCAACAGCAACAGCAGAGCCAGCAGCAGCAGCAGCAGCAGCAGCAGCAGGCCCCCGGATTCTTCAGCGGCCCACACCAGAGCCGAATGTCAAGTGGTCCTGTCAGCAGAGCAACCTCAGGAGCATCACCAGCATCAGCAGCATCAGCAGCAGGTGCAGCTTCAGCATATCTGGACCCTGTGTCGGTCCCTCTCCCGTCCCTCTCTCCCACCGCTGGTTCCTCTGCTTCCTTCCGCGGCGATCGGGATTCCCAAGGCAGTTTTGGAATGAGTTCCCAAGGCCGCACGGACCCCCAAGGCGCCATAAACTCCTCCCAAGGCCTCAGTGACTCTAGAAATCTGGGGAGTTTCCGGGATTCTAAAGGTCTCGAGTTCAATTCCGCCCTGGTCACATCTTTTCAGGAGGAGCGGGTGTCTGAAGTTTCGTCCTTTGCAAGCCGAACCAGAGGAGGTTCGGCCACGTCCCCAAGGATGCTGGTTCGGCGGAGCACGTTGCCGCTGACGTCAGCACAGTCAAACCAAGTGGTTCGGGAGCAGCAGCAGATGGTGCTTTCCCAAGGCCTCGCTGCTGCTGTTTCTTCCGCGTGTGGTAACCCTGTAACCGGCGGCAGTGGTTCTGTAGCCCTCCGACCCACACCGCCTAGAAGCACGGCTGTAGCGGCAGCTGCGGCTGTAGCTGCGGCAGCTGTGACTATACCGAGCGGTGCTTCCCCCCCTCCTCCTCTCCCAGGAGCACCCTCCTCCTCCGTTATAAGCCAGGGCGGGCACAGGCACAGCCGGTCTAGGAGCGCCGTGGAGGGAGAAGGGTTGGGACAGGCAGGGGGAAGTGGAGGGGAGGGGCGAGGAGAGGAAGGGATCAACGAGGAGGGTGATGATGATGATGATGATGAGGAGGAGGAGGAGAGGGAGAGGAGTGGAGTGTTTTTCAGGGGCCGGGCGGCGACTATATCCACGCTGCTGCCGCCCAGTGTGACTATAGAGGAAGGCACGTTCCGCACAGCAGAGAGGTCTCCAATGAGGCGATACCAGCACAAATTTTTCCAGCAGCATCCGCAGCAGCAGCCGCAGCAGCAGCCGCAGCAGCAGCACCAGCGGCAGATGTCAATGGGGCAAACCATACCTGGCAGGACGCGGGGCACGTCACAGAGCGTGGTGCTTGTGGGTGAGCGAGGGGGGCTGCTTGGCCGGCAGCAGCAGCTACAGCAGCCGCTACAGCCGCAGCTACAGCAACAGCCAGGCAGCAGCAGCAGCCTCGCCGGGTACCCCCACTTCGCCAGTCAAACCGCGTCCGGACAAGTCAACGCCGGTCAACGAGTCGGCGCTGCTGGCGCAGCTGCGGCCGGCAGGCCACAGGGGCGGCGGCGGTCGTTGGTGTCGCACTCGGGCGGCTTGACAGCTGGCCTGTCTCCTGGCCTGGCCGCTCGCTCCGGCCTCACTGGAAGCACCTTTGCTGGTGGTGGTGCCTTCGGTGGTGGTGGCGCTGCCGGTGGTGCCAGTGGTAGTGGCGTTGGGTATGTGAGCGGCAGCATCAACGCCCACGCGGCCAGCAGCAGCAGCAGCTTCATACGAGGCAGGAGCCGCACCATATCCACCGCTACAGTCACCACAGCTGTAGCGGGAGGAGCTGCGGGGAGAGTGGCCGGAGCAGTAGCAGGAGCGGGATCGGGAGGAGTGGGAGGAGGAGCGGGAGTGCGAGGAGGGGGAGCAGGGGGAGGAGGAGGGGGGACGCTGTCAGCGCTGCCCCCTGCGCTGTCTCCACGCGCGTTGGCCCAGTTGGATCGCAGCTTTGGCAGTGATGAGTCCATGTCGTCCAGTGGCGAGGTCGTCAACGTGCTGCATGATTCCTCGGGTGGTGGTGCTGGTGGCATGAAGGTGAGTGCTCTCGGCCCAGCTGGATCGCAGCTTTGGCAGTGATGAGTCCATGTCATCCAGTGGTGAAGTGGTCAACGTGCTGCATGATGATGCCTCGAGCGGTGGTGCTGGCGGTATGAAGGTGAGTGCGGGACATGCTCTCTCTTCACAGCGGAGTGCGGCACACCTTCCACTTCCACAGCATCTCCTCACCCAATCCCTCCACCCCCCACTCTCCGCCCCCTTGTGTTGCACAGGGCGTGTGTGCCATATGTCTAGAATGCCAGAGGGCAGGTCGAGGCCACGCTCTCTTCACAGCGGAGTGCGGCACACCTTCCACTTCCACTGCATCACCGCCAACGTGCGCCTCCCCATCCCCCCCCCCATCCCCTTGATCCCTCCCCTCGTTCTCACCAGGGCGTCTGTGCTATTTGCCTGGAGCGCCAGAGAGCAGGGAGAGGGCACGCCCTGTTCACAGCGGAGTGCGGCACACCTTCCACTTCCACTGCATCACCGCCAACGTGCGCCTCCCCATCCCCCCCCCCCCATCCCCTTGATCCCTCCCCTCGTTCTCACCAGGGCGTCTGTGCTATTTGCCTGGAGCGCCAGAGAGCAGGGAGAGGCCACGCCCTGTTCACAGCAGAGTGCGGCACACCTTCCACTTCCACTGCATCACCGCCAACGTGCGCCTCCCCATCCCCCCCCCCATCCCCTTGATCCCTCCCCTCGTTCTCACCAGGGCGTGTGTGCTATTTGCCTGGAGCGTCAGAGAGCAGGGAGAGGGCACGCCCTGTTCACAGCGGAGTGCGGGCACACCTTCCACTTCCACTGCATCACCGCCAACGTGCGCCACGGCCACTCCGCCTGCCCGCTCTGCCGCAAGCGCTGGCACGAGGTCCCCTGGATGGGCCCTCCCGTAGCCGCACCTCCCCCTGCTGCCCCTGCTCCTGCCCCAGCTACTGCTACTGCTGCCCTTGCTGCTTTCCCTGTGTCTGCGGCTGGTGGTGGTGCTGGTGCCGGTGCTGGTGCTGGTGGTGTTTCTGCTGCTGGTGGTGCTGGTATGATCTCTCCCTTATCCTCTTCAGGTTCCTCCACTACCTCCACCATTACTCCTGGCATCACCGCACTCACCTCCCCATCCTCCTCCTCTTCCTCCTCCCGCCACACTCGCACCCGCTCCTCCTCCCCCCCTGACATGCTACTCGCACACTCCCCACGCGGCTCACCCAGCAACCTTCCTTTTCCAGAGCACCGGATTTCTGCTGTCCCCCCTGCTGCTGCTGGCACTGCTGCAGCTGCTGCTGCTACCAACCAGGCAACAGCAGCAATAGCAGCAGTTGTACCTGTCCAGATGTACCTTCCCCCAGTAGCGAATCCGTACACAGAGGACGGACCTGAGAGCTCAGACACCAGTGGCACGTACGATTCCGGAGAGATTCGGGCGGCAGCTGCTGCCGCCCAGTCCAAGGCCTGGGCGGCACTGAAGAGGAGCAGGGGCGGGGGAGGAGGGCGAGGGGGAGGAGGAGGATTGTTACAATCGCACCAGCCAGTCTCAGTGGCACCAACTGCTGGTGCTGCTTCCTCACCTGCTCCTGCAGAGACCATCCCCGCTGCACCCACACCTTCAGCAGTAGCAGCCACATCATCGGCAGCACCTGTGTTTGCACCACCCACAGGCACAGCTTTACAGCTGCCAGGCACAGTGGGAGCTGCGCCTATTAGAGTCCAACCAGTGGCACGATCAGCAGCAGGAGCAGGAGGAGCAGGAGCATCAGCCGCAGCGCTGTTGCCATGGCTCTCTGCCACGTCAGCAGGTGCCACGTCGTGCGAGGACCCTGACAGCACGACGTCGCTGCAGGAGTGGATGGGAGGGCGCCAGGGAGCGGCCGCAGCAGCAGACGTCGCAGTCGCAGCACTAGGCGCAGCAGATGCCCCAAGAGCCACATACGGTGAGCTGATCGCGGGAAGTAGCAGCAGTCTCTCACTGGTGCAGCAGCAACCACAGCAACCACCACAGGTGCAGCAGCAGCAGCAGAGCCTGCTGCGGCAGGCGTCTATAGTGGCGCATGAGCTGACTCTAGGGCGCTCCAGAGCTGCCTCTGCCTTTCCCCGCTCCAAAAGCTCCAGTGGTGCTGCTGCTGCTGGTTTTGCTGCTGCTGGTTCTGCGGCTGCTGCCGCCACTGATTCTGCAGGTGCCTATGCTGTTGGTAGCACGAACAGCAGAATGGGCAGTGCCAGTGGCAGCGGCAGCATGAGCAGCAGCAGTGGCGGTCTCAGAACGGCTTCCAGCCTTCCCACGCCCCCTGCTGCCAGTCACGCCGTGCCACTACCAAGTGTGACAGGAGAGGAAGCCGGGGAGGGAAGGGCGGGCAGGGCCGGCCCAGCCTATGCTCCTCTGACACGTGGCAGCCTGCAGCCTCTCGCTGCCATCCATCCAGTGCTGCGGCAGATGCTGCTGCCAGGTCAGCACGCACAGGGACCAACACAGGGGCAGGGTCAAGGACATGGAAGCGTACAGTCACAGGCACAGGGACAGGGACAAGGGCAAGGGCAAGTAGGGGCGGATGATTCGCCTCGCGTGTACAATGATGATCAGAGCCTCAACAGCCCCCCTGCTGCTGCCCCTGGGACCTCTGCTGCCGCTCCCGCGGCTTCTTCTTCTCCTGCTGCTGCTGGCGATGCTGCTGCTGCTGCTGCTGCTGCTCCAACCGGAGCTGGCACTACCACAGATGGTGTCGTTTCTCCCACTGCTGGTTTGGTAGTTACTGCCCCACGCGCTCTCTCGCGCCTATCTGCTGTCGAGTCGGCTGTTGAGTCTGCGGTTGCGGAACCAAGTCCAGAGCTGCTCACTCCATCCTCTGCCTTTGCTGATGCGTCTGCTGCTGCTTGTTCTTCTGCTGCTCCTGCTGCTCCTGCTGCTGCTACAGATTATGAAACGACAGCTACTGCTGCTACAGCTGGGACTGCCTGGCCTGAGAGCAGCCGTGCTACAGCCGCTCCAGGTGCAGCAGGTGGAACCGAGCTTCCTGGCCTTGCGAAGGAGACACCACCACCTACTGCTACGGCCTTTTCAAGTGGTGCTGCTGCGCCAGAACCAGCAGACGGTGAGGTACCAGCGGCAGGGGAAGAGACTGGAGCCGTTCAACCCGAGGAGAGCACTGAGGAAGAGGGGTATGCACGAGCAAATAATGCTGCTGCTGCAGCAGCTTCTGATGCAGCTGCTAATACGGCTGATGGGGGCGGTGCTGCTGGGCAGGAGCCCATGGCTACTGCTGCTACCACTGAACGTACTGCTATCACCACTGCTGTTCCAGTCGCTGTTACTCCTGATGCCTCACCTCCAGCCATCACCCCTCCAGCAATAACCGACCCCCAACCTCTTCCCACTCCCTCTCAGCCTTCCCAGCCTTCCTCCTCCTCTCCCTCATCCTCCACTCCTTCCGCCCCCTCCCCCCAGCCCCACCAGAAAACGCCTCCCTCAGAAAACGCGTCGTTCCCTGTCCAGCTGTCCGTGTGCGCGGAGCGTGTTCCTCCCCCTTTCATGGAAGTTTCCGAGTGCTACACCGTGCTGCTCACTCTTAAAGCCCCTCCGCTCGACCCTCCCACTGCTGACTCCACCACTCCTGTCTCTCCTCCAACCGAACACCACCAGGGCTCACCGCTCCCCACCCCTGCCACCACCGATGGAACCACTTCCACTATCACTACTACCACTCCTGCCGCCCACTCATCAAGAGTACCCATCGATTTAGTCACACTTTTGGACCTTAGCGGGAGCATGCACGGGCCGAAGCTGCAGCTGCTGCAGCAGGCCATGCTCTTTCTCATCTCCCAACTTGGCCCCCACGACCGGCTCTCTATAATCACATTCTCGTCACAAGCACACCGCGTGACGCCCCTGAGGAGGATGACGGAGGAGGGGCGGCAGGAGGCGGAGGGGAAGGTGGGAGGGATGGTGGCGGGGGGAGGGACGAATATTGCCCAGGGGATGTTAAAGGCGCTGAGAGTGGTGGAGGAGAGAAGGGAGAGGAACCCGGTTGCGAGTATCATGCTGCTGTCTGATGGGCAGGACACAGCCACGTGCAGCCAGAAGGGGTTTGGGTACAGGTGAGACTGGGCTGGTGTGGGTACAGGTGAGCTTGGGTTTGTCTAGGTGCTGCTCGGTGGGGTTGAGTGCAGGTGATAAGAGTGCAGAGGGGAGGGACGAATATCGCCCAGGGGATGTTGAAGGCGCTGAGAGTGGTGGAGGAGAGACGGGAGAGGAACCCGGTTGCGAGTATCATGCTGCTGTCTGATGGGCAGGACACTGCCACGTGCAGCCAGAAGGGGTTTGGGTACAGGTGAGACTAAGGTTGAGGTGAGAATGGGTTGGGATAGAGAAGGGACGTTTGGAAACAGGTGAGAGGGACTAGGGTGCAGGCGCAGGCAGAAGCGCTATGCGTTTCTTGGCTGTGTGCGGAGGTTTTTGTTCCGTCTCACCTGTATTGTATCCAACGTTTAATGATTCTTCCTTTCTCCCTCCTATATCCTATCCCCATCTCGTTATCATTCATTGCTCATTCATTTTCCCCTGTCTCCTCCCTTACTTTCCACCTCCTCATCCCCTGCAGCTCTCTCAACCACCCCAAGCAGACCTACAGCCGCCTTCTACCCAGCCAGATGACACGCAACAAGTCCTCTTCGTCTCAAGATGCCTCCTCCTCCGCCTCCTCTTCCTCCTCCCGGCGTCTAGTCCCCGTGCACACCTTTGGCTTTGGTGCCGACCACGACGCTGCCGCCCTGCACGCCATCGCCGCCGACACAGCTGGCGTCTTCTCATTCGTCGAGGAGCCGGCCGGCGTGACCGCCGCCTTTGCGCAGTGCCTGGGCGGCCTGCTGTCTGTCGTTATCCAAGAGGCCAAGATCTCGTTCGCCGTGGGATCGGATCTCCCCGGGTGGCAGATCGCGGCAGTACATGCGGGGGGGTATGCGTATAGAGTGGGGGAGAAGGAGAGGGATGGGGCGGTGCTGCTGGGGGATTTGTATGCGGAGGAGGAGAGGCATGTGATGCTGGAGGTGTGGCGGAGACGACACGTGGAGGTACGTGATTGGTGGAGGGATGCGTGGTTCATGTTCTTGGTGATGCTGCATCTTATTAAATTGATGCCTGGCTAAAACTACTCATCGTGCTTCTCTTCTGAGTCAGAATCATAATACCAGTTTTTTTTTTTCGTTCCCTCCCTCCATTCTCCTGACACTTCTTGTGTCACAGGACGAATCCAGAGACAGAGACACGTCAGCAGGAGCAGCACAGCGCGACATGTGTCGCATTCTGCGTGCGCGGTGCAGCTACAGATGCCGCCCACTCTTCCAGGATACCCACCGCACACCGCTGGTAGAGCTGGCTGTAGCACGGGTGGAGGAGGAGGAGTATGAGGAGGGGGAGGGAGAGGAGGTGGAGGAGGGAATGGAGGGATGGGAGGAAGAAGGGCGCATGTGGGAGGAGGGTGGTGATGAGGAGTGGTATGAGGAGCAGCAGAGGGGCTATGCGCATGGGCAGGAGGAGGGGGAGTATGGGGCGCACAGCAGTGGGCATGATAGCTTCGCGGCGGCGCTTGCAGCAGCAGGCGGGTGGGACAGTGGAGCGCAGGGAAGTGGCAGGCAGACAAGCGGAAGGCTTGCAGGAGGAGCATCCCATGCCGCATCGCCACCAGTCTCTGGAGCTATGGAGTCAGGACGACTGGGAGAAGGGAGGAGGAGGAAGGTAGAGGCGGCGAGGGAGAGGAGGAAGAAGAAGGCTCCCCCGCCCTTGGCGCTGGAGAGGCAGAAGAACCGCCTCGCTGCCACCAAATGCATCACTGCGGTGCGCTCTCCCTCACTCACTCACTCACTCACTCACTCACTCACTCACTCACTTACTCACTCATTCACTTGTCTCCCTCCTCTCTTGATCAGTCTGCTCCAATTCCCTCCTCACTGCTCCTATAATCATGCACTGCTACTCCCCTTACTCACTCCCATCTCCATGGCCCCCGTGTCCCCATCCCTCTGCCTCTGACTTCACTCCAGGCGCTGCAGCAGGCAGAGGCGGGCAGCCTGGCAGCAGCCCAGCGCACCATACAACAGGGCGTTGCTGCTATTGAAGCATCGTACGCCATGCAGGTAGGCCGCACAATATTTTTTCTACTTCTTATCTTGTTTTACTCCCCCCCTCCCCCCTCCCGCCCTCCCCTCCCCTCTCCTCCTCCCCCCCCCTCCCCTCCCAACCCTATAATTTTTTCTTTTCTTTTCATTTCTTTTCTCTTATTTTCTTTTCTTTTCCTTTTCACAATTGCATTATTTGTTTTGCAACTTCTGTGCGAAATACCCAACCCTTCTATCCTCTCTGAACTCGCTTCTTACACAACCCTTTCCATCTGCCATGCCTCTCCTTCCTGTCCCGCTGTATTACCTCTCCCTACCTTGTTCCTTTTCCCTATTCCATGCAATCCCGAGTGCAGCAAGGGGATGAGGCGTCAAGGCACTTGATAGACGAGTTAATGGAGATAGAGAGACGCATGTGCAACATGCAGGTGAGTGGGAGTGTGGCTTACATTACATGTGTTACGGGTTATGTGTGTTATGTGCTTCAGCACTTTGCATGAATTTGTAACAATGCTTCAACACTTGTTTTTTTTTTTTTTTTCTCACAGACGTACATGGAGGCAGGCCTGGCGTATGCACGCTCCTCACAGTCTGCTACAGCCGACCTAACGACGTGCCACCATCCATACACTCTCTCACGTCTCCGCACCAACTCTCTCCCTACTTCCTCTCCCTTTTTGCAGACGTACAAGGGAGCAGGTTTGGCATAACTCTCTCAGCGCAGTCAGCTCATCTGCTTCAGTGAGCCAACAAGACGTGCCACCATTCACGCTCTCACGTGTCCTCTCACCAACTCTTCTCCTTGTTTCCCTACTTTCGCTCCCACCCTCTTGCAGACGTACAAGGGAGCAGGTTTGGCATACGCTCTCTCAGCGCAGTCAGCTCATCTGCTGCAGCGAGCCAACACGAAGGGGGGAGGGGCAGCAGAAGATAGCACTGCTGGCCTCGACTACATGGTAACGTAACGCGCCGTGCAGACAGTTTTTATTTTAAAATATATATTTACGTATTAATATATGTATTTCCATTATTTTAATATGCTCTAATAAGTTTTAATTCTTTTTTTTCTTTGCGTTTTCTAGCTGCGCCTGCCCTTCCAGCTTAATCCCCAACCAAGGCTTGTCGATATTTATTTCTTACAATGTCCATTTTGTGTCCCTTTCCCTGGTTGCCCCTTCCATTTTCTTTTTCCACACCATCAGACGCCTTCAATGGTCAACATGCTGCACAAGTCACGAGCGCACAGCGCTGCCTTCACGTCATCCCCCTCCTCCTCCTACCCATCCTCCTCGTCCCGCCTAACTCACCCTCACCGCCCCACACTCCCTCAAACGCACCCTTCACCGCACGCCTCACCACACCTGGAGGACACGAGCAACAGCAGCAGCGGGTCGCTGGTGCTGCCAGCACCTCACTCCGGGCCGTTCATGGATGGTAGGGAGTGCGAGACACCCACGTTCCGAGGCCGAGGGGTGCCAAAAAACGGTAGAGGAGGAGGGGCAGCAGTTTCTGGCGTTGCTTCTGCTTCTGCCTCCTCCTCCAAATCACCCTCACAGCCGTTCTTTGATGGTAGACAAGGTGCGAACGGGGCAAATGGGATGCTTGCTGCTGCGGCTGCAGCCCTACCTCAACCACCCCTGGATGGTGGTGGCACCTACAGTAACAGCTGCTCGTCTCAGAACGGTGGTGATCTCTCATTTGGCAACTCCTGTGAGCAGCAGCAGCAGCAGGGTGATACAGAGGATCTCTCATTTGGTTCAGCTTCCTTTCAATCCAGACCAGTAGCAGCGTGCCAGACACGCCAACAGCAGCAGCAGCCGCAAGGAGGAGTAGGGCTGAGAAGGCAGAGGTCTGGCGTGCAACGCAGCAGCAAGCCGGCTCCCCTGGTGGTGCGCAGTGGGATGGGTCTGGCTGCTGCTGTGGCCGCCGCTGCTGCTGCAGGGGATGGCAGGCTGGACTCGTCTGCTTCGCTCTCTGCTGTGGCTCATGCGCTCTCGTCCTCACCTCGTCCCGTGGAAGCATGAAAGTGCCTGCCCCATCCTCGCTCCCCCCTTATCTCTCGTCTACTTCTCGCCAGCAAAGCAGCAATCCGGCTCCCCTGGTGGGTCTGCTTCGCTCTCTGCTGTGGCTCACGCCCTCTCGTCCTCGCCTCGTTCCGTGGAAGCGTGAGCAGTCCGTGTCTGGTATCTACTCCTTATCCTCGCCGACGTCCTGTGGAAGAACGTGTGGCGTGGTGCTTGTCGTCGATGTGGGGAAGACGGGCTAGTGGAGGAATAGGGTCGTCACTGCTGCATGGAGCATTAATAAGTGGCAGTTAGCATTTTAGGAATGCTATTTGTGTGTTGCCCCTGTAATGCTTGCCTTGTGTGAGTTATGTTGTGCTTGTATGCTTGTTGTGCTAGTAAGCATTTTTCTCCTAGCTCCGGCCCAAATCCATTGCGCAACAGGTTGTTGAGGTAAAGAAAAGAAATGCGTAACATTTAAATGTTGGTGTGGTTCCTCCAATGTTGAAGACTTTGTCCCAAACGCAGACTTCTGATGTCGGTTCATGAACAAATGCAGACTCCTCTGCTTCGCTCTCTGCGGTTGCTCACGCCCTCTCATCCTCGCCTCGTCCCGTGAAAGCATAAACGCTGTAGCTGGTTGCCGCTGCCGTCACTGCGCTGCTGCTGCTGCTGCTGCTGCTGCTGCTGCTGCTGCTGCAGGGGATGGCCAGTTGGACTCCTCTGCTTCACTCTCTGCTGTGGCTCATGCGCTCTCGTCCTCGCCTCGTCCGGTGGAAGCGTGAACACTGCTTGCCTGGTGTCTACTCCTTATCTTCGCCCCGTCCTCGTCTTGGTTGTCATCTTGCTCTCGACCCGTCGACGAAAGAATGTGCGATGCGTGTTGCCGTTGATGTGGAGGAGGGCTAGTGGAGGTGTAGGGTCGTCACTGCCGCATGGAGCATCAATAAGTGGCAGCTAGCATTCTTAAGAGTGCATTCGTGTGTTGTCCCTGTAAGGCTTGCCGTTTGGTATTTATGTTGCGCTTGTATGCTTGTTGTGATAGTACTTCCTTCGTCCTAGCTCGTCTCTAAACCCTTTGCGTTACAGTTGAGTCGGGGAGGTATGGAAAACAGGAAACGCAAGGGTTCATTATGTTCATCTTAGTGTAGAAGAACAGGCGTCACAAACGCAGACAGCTGATGATCGCTCTCCAATTGAGCATTTTTTGCATGCGCCGCAGGCGGCTTCAATAACGCATCGGCCAAGGCATTGCCTTTCGAGCAGTCCTGATAACATCCTCGAAATAACAGCAGCAAAGGGGTTATGCGCATGGGCAGGAGGAGGGGGAGCATGGGGCGCCTAGTAGCGGGCATGATAGCTTTGCGGCGGCGCTCGCAGCAGCAGGCGGGTGGGACAGTGGCGTGCAGGGAAGCAGCAGGCAGGCCAGAGGCGCTCATGGTGTGTCACCACCGGTAGCAGGAGCTATGAAGTCTGGACGGCTGGGGGGAGATGGGAGGAGGAGAAAGGAGAGGAGGAAAAAAGCTCCCCCACCGTTGGCGCTGGAGAGACAGAAAAGGAGACTTGCCGCCACCAAGTGCATCACTGCGGTGCGCTCTCCCTCACTCACTCACTCACTTAATTCTTGCTCATACTCACTTGCATTCCCTCATCCCCTTACTCACTCCCTCACTCACTCACTTTTTTCCTCGCTCACTTACTCACTCATCACTCACTCACTCCTCTTTTTCTCTTGACATCAGATTAATCCAACACCCTTGCTCACTGTCTCCTCACTCACTCGCCCTCCCCTGTCCGCACCTCTGCTGTCACCATCTGCGTCTCCATTAACTCCAGGCGCTGCAGCAGGCAGAGGCGGGCAGCTTAGGAGCAGCCCAGCGCACCACACAGCAAGGGGTGGCTGGCATTCAAGCTTCTTACGCCATGCAGGTAGGATGCTTTTTATCTTAACCCCTCCCTCTATTTTTTTTCTCTGTGTGTGTGTGTGTGTGTGTGTGTATGTGTGTGTGTGTGTGTGTGTGTGTGTGTGTGTGTGTGTGTGTGTGTGTGTGTGTGTGTGTGTGTGTGTGTGTGTGTGTGTGTGTGTGTGTGTGTGTGTGTGTGTGTGTGTGTGTGTGTGTGTGTGTGTGTGTGTGTGTGTGTGTGTGTGTGTGTGTGTGTGTGTGTGTGTGTGTGTGTGTGTGTGTGTGTGTGTGTGTGTGTGTGTGTGTGTGTGTGTGTGTGTGTGTGTGTGTGTGTGTGTGTGTGTGTGTGTGTGTGTGTGTGTGTGTGTGTGCGTGTGTGTGTGTGTGTGTGTGTGTTTATGTTTCTGTTTCTGTTGATTTGGATATGCAGCCTCTATAACCCGCACTTGACAAAGCCCTTGCTTTCTGTCTCGCCTTTCCTCGCCTTGTCTTGTTCCCCAATTCTCATCTCTCTCCCACTCTCTTTCATCGGCCATGCAATCCTGTGTGCAGCAAGGGGATGAGGCATCGAGGCACTTGGTAGATGAGCTGATGGAAATAGAGAGACGCATGTGCAACATGCAGGTGAGTGGGAGTGTGGGTTACATGTGTTATGGGTTGGTTACGTGTATTACGAGTTACATGTGTTATGTTCTGCAGCACTTTCTCTGAATTTGTAACAATCCTTCAACACTAGTTTTTTGTCTTCACACAGAGGTACACGGAGGCAGGCCTGGCGTATGCACGCTCCTCGCAGTCTGCTACAGCCCACCTAATGACGTGCCACCATCCATACACTCTCTCACATCGCCGCACCAACTCTTCTCTTCTCCCCCCTTGCAGACGTACAAGGGAGCAGGCCTGGCGTATGCACTCTCAGCGCAGTCAGCTCATCTGCTGCAGCGAGCCAACACGAGGGGGGGAGGGGTGGCAGCAGATAGCACTGCTGGCCTCGACTACATGGTAACGCGCACTGCATACGGTTTCTATTATCTATTGTATGCTTGATTTACTTATGCGTTTATTTATCATTTTATTATTATGTTTCATTGCGTTTTCTAGCTGCGCCTGCCCTTCGAGCTTAATCCCCTACAAAGGCTTGTCCATTTTTCTCTTGCACTGTCCATGTTGTGTCCCTTTCCCCGACTGCCCCTTCCATTCTCTTTTCCCCACCATCAGACGCCTAAAATGGTCAGCATGCTGCACAAATCACGAGCACACAGCGATGCCTTCACACTGTTTTTCTTCCCCCTGATACCCCTTTTCTTTCCCTTACCATCAGACGCCTTCAATGGTCAACATGCTGCACAAATCCCGTGTACACAGTGCCGCTTTCACGTCATCCCCCTCCTCCTACCCATCCTCCTTGTCCCGCCACACTCACCCTCACCGTCCCACACTCCCTCAAGCACACCCTTCACCGCACGCCTCCCCACACCTGGAGGACACGAGCAACAGCAGCAGCGGGTCGCTGGTGCTGCCAGCGCCACACTCCGGGCCGTTCATGGACGGTAGAGAGTGCGAGACACCCACATTCCGAGGCCGAGGGGTGCCAAAAAACGGTAGAGGAGGAGGGGCAGCAGTTTCTGGTGTTGCTTCTGCTGCTGCCTCCTCCTCGAAATCACCCTCACAGCCGTTCTTTGATGGTAGACAAGGTGCGAACGGGGCAAATGGGATGCTTGCTGCTGCGGTTGCAGTCCTCCCTCAACCACGTCTGGATGGATTGAGTGGCGGCAGCTACAGTAACAGCTGCTCCTCTCAGTACGGTGGTGATCTCTCCTTTGGCAACTCCTGTGAGCAGCAGCAGCAGCAGAACGGTGAGACAGAGGATCTCTCTTTTGGTTCAGCTTCCTTTCAATCCAGACCAGTAGCAGCGTGCCAGACACGCCGACAACAGCAGCAGCAGCAGCAACACGGAGGAGTGGGGCTGAGAAGGCAGAGGTCTGGAGTGCAGCGGAGCAGCAAGCCGGCTCCCATGGTGGTGCGCAGTGGGATGGGTCTGGCTGCTGCAGTGGCCGCCGCTGCTGCAGCTGCTGGGGATGGCCGGCTGGACTCCTCTGCTTCGCTCTCCGCTGTGGCTCATGCGCTCTCGTCCTCACCTCGTCCCGTGGAAGCGTGAACCTCCTTGCCTCGTGTCTAAACTCTAATCCTGACCTTCGCCCTATCCTTGCCTCATCCTCGTCTCGTCCTGTGGAGGCATGAAAATTGAAAGTGCTTGCCTGGTGTCTACACCTTATCCTAGCCTCGCTCCTCGCCTCATACCCGTCTCGTCCCCGTCTTGTCTCGTCTCGTCCTCGCCTCGTCCGTGCATGGTGTGTGCCATGGTCCTTTTTGGAGAAATGTATGGTAGGGCGTGTGGATGTAGGATCGACACTGCTGCATGGAGCATCAATAAGTAGCAATTAGGAGTGCATTCATATGTTGTTCCTGAAATGTGTGTGTGCCTTTCATGTGTCATGTGCTTGTTGTGATAGTGTTGCAATCGCCCTGATATACCGTACCATATGTCCCCGGATATAAGTGCAGGCCTATGTTAAGCGGATGCGCTTATATCTGGAGTAGTGCGCTTATGGCTTGTTACGAATAGTAAAGTATGAAATGTTACTGTGCACTCCTGCCAGTAGCAATCGAAGCATGCATTACCAAGGCTGAAGATGAAAAGGCGGAATGACGTGAAGGGTCGCACGGTTACGGAGCATCTGGACCGTCAGGGCAGATAGCATCAGGCAGCAGCAGTGGCGAGGATTCTGCCCGAGCAGTTCGTAACCGTCTGGAGTCGCACGGTTGGGTTTCGCTGTAGTAAGGGGATGTACCCTAAGAGTACATGGCTAGTTAGGTCGTTTCGTATTCCACCTTGTACTCTTATTTATACGTTTGTATTTGCATGTTCTTAATAATCTCAATCATTTTACATTCACTCTGATTTGAGGTCAAGGGCCCACCACTACCATACACCTTGTGTGAACATTCCTGAGGAGATCCTGGTTACGATCTAACTTCTGATCGCAGCATGGTATGAGAGCGACTCGGGAATCCTTCGCACTGCCACCTCCGAAACATTCGGCGAACTAAGGTGGCGTCCGGCACACGCTCGCCTGTAAGAATGGCCGGAGGATCTGGAGGTCAGACAAATCTGACCGCTGAAGCACAGTCCAACCCGGCTGCGACAAACGAGGAAACGACCACGATCGGCACAGCCGCCCTCACACAACTTCTTCATCGACTCTCAACTCTGGAGCAAAGCGTCCAGACATTGCAGAATGGCGACGCGGGAACATCCTCCCAACCCTCTCAACCGGCCGCGAACGGCCACGATACCGCTCCGCACACCTTCTCCCTGAACACAAATGGCTCAACTCCCAAGACTCCCCGTCCCAGCGAAGAAGCAATTCTCTCAGCTCAATCAAAGATCCTGACAGCAGGGACTTCTATACGTGGAGCTTCGAGCTGGAGCTGCTACTGCAAAACGCGCAGATATTTCACTACTTCGACGGGAGCTACGCCGGACCTGCTGAAGACACCGCTGACGCCAGGGCGCAATACTACAACGAATCGATGATGGCGTATGACGTCTTACTGCGAAACATGTCGCCGGCGGAGCAGCTGAGCATCCGATCGTACAAGACAACGTCTGCTCCAGCCCTTGACGCCTGGCGACATCTGAACGGCGTATACCAACCGAAAGACTCGGTTTCTTCGAGCCGCCTGCTCCAGCAGCTACTGGAGACAAAAATGGCCCCAGGGGAGAAGGCCAACAGCTACATCAATCGCTGTCGGAGCTTTCGCGATCAGATCGCGAAATTAGGAAGCACCATCTCCGAAGAAATCTTCGTGAATATTGTGCTCCAAGGGCTCGGCCCATAATGGCGGCCCTGCAAGGCGCTACTCCGACAGCAGGGGGTTATCTCGGAAGCCGCCCTATGCACCGCCCTTCTCGTCGAACAGAGAGACATGGATCAGCAGCGACCAGCGCCGCGACGAGACCGGGAACGCCTCGCCTTCTACGCCGACAACACAGAAGAGCGACGACCGCGGCGCCTTTACTACAAGATATGCAGAAACTTTGGGCACTTGGCAGAGCGATGCAAATCCGGCTCTCGCCTTCGCTTGACCAATCCGAGCACCTGGTCCGGCCGTCAAGACGCACGCCACGACACGCGTCAAGCCCAGAGGTACCAACCCCCATCTCGCAACCTGAACCCAGAAGTTCAGCACCAGCATCAGCAGCCGTCGCCTACAGCTCCCCGCAACGTCATCAGCAACATGACGATGACGGACACAAGCGGATCCTGCCGTCGCCGCGTGCGCACGCCTTCACCAGAGCCAGCACGCCATCCAATCGGGGCGTTTACGAACAACAGTCCATTTACGACCCGACGCAACTTCAGCGACGATGACGACCAGGATTGGAACCTACCAATCCCGCTGCTTGAAAGCCCCCCGCACGTACGTGATTCGCGGGTGGCTCCACTTGACTGGATATCACGCGAGCAATTCTTGAAAATTGATACCCCACACATTGTCACGCCGCGACTGGCGCTGCTCGCGCGCGATGACAAAAAAATGTACAAAACGTGGTACCTCGATAGCTGCTGCGGACAGCACATGGTCGGATCCGAGCGTTTCGTCTCCAACGCCGTCGCGACCCCTACGGTTACCTACGTCACCGTGGCGAACAACACCCGTTAGCGTGCAAGCGCGCAAGGTATCGTCGTGCTGAAGGCGCATGAGAGCCGCACACACATCACACTGAATGATGTGTTGATCGTCCAGAATTTGCGCTTCAACCTTCTCTCGGCAGCACAGCTCATGGACTGCGGAGTCAGCACCGACCTCCGCACACGCGACATACTCTTGCACTACACAGCGCCGAAAAAGGCGCGCCGGCAGATCGGACGGGCGCACTCCGAGAACGGAGTGCACATCCTCGACTTCGACATTCCCGACTGCAGCGGCGACTCGAACGAGTTAATCGACCTCGTTCCCTTGCGCTTTGAGCATATTCACCACTCCGACTGGAAGCACCCTGATGGGAGACCCTGGTTGCCGCACCATCCGCATCCTCGCGAAGTCGCGCTGCACTACCCCGGCCCCGACGGCGTCTCCGGAGATTGTCACACGCCGACTGCCTCAACAAGCGTGATAGCCGGAGGAGGACTTGCCGCGATCGCCGAAGCCGAGCGACTCGCGCCGCCTGAAGAAGGCATGTCAGCAATGGAGCTCGAAATCGCGACGCGCAGCATCTTCGGAACAGAGGAACATCCTCTCCCCGGACCCGCATCACAACATATGCAAGGGATCTTGCGCGGCACCGGCCACGGCATTTTCGACAATCGCGGAGTGGCTCGCCCCTACACAAAGGAGGAGTTCGTGAAGGTCTACCCCCACTGGCGCGACCCCACGAAGAAGCTTACCGTGGCGCAGGAAGAAGAGTTGGCGAGCCGCGAAGCCAAGGAGCTTCGTCGCAAGAGCATCACTGAAGCCCGTGGCACCTTCGCATGCGCCGCCTGGGGCGCTGAAGAAGAGGAGAGCGCCTCCAATGAAGGGGGTGGGGAAGCAACGACGGCTGGGGAACGAGCAACACAGGAGGATGGGGCAACACCGGCGGCACCTGGGCAGACGCAGGCGGCGGATGGGGCGCCGCATCTGGCGGTGAGACAAGCGGTTGGGGTACCTCCGGCGGAGGCTGGGGCACTTCCCGAGAGGAACAAAGGGGGGGAGAAGAAGAAACAGAGCCTCCTATTGTTCCCCTCGGTCGTCCCCCGCACCTCCCTGCACCTGCGTTACCTCCCCCTGATGTTCAACCGCACCGCGACCCTTGGGACACCATCGACTGGGGCAATGAGCCCTCGACCCCACGTCGCACAGTCTACGGACCTGACCCCGAGCCGCGCGAGCCAACCTTCGTCCCTGGAACAATCCCCGGGACCAACATTCCCTTCTCCGTGATTCTCGATAGAGAATTTATGGCGCTGATGCTGACAACCATGAACGAGGAAGAAGAAGAAGAAGCGCCGGCGGAACCTGCTCTAGCACCTGAAGAGGATCCGGAAGAAGTGCGCGCGCGCTACATGCGCACCTATGGACTTCGCGCCAACGATGACCTTTGGCACCAGCGCCTTGGTCACCCCTCTCGCGTGACACTGAAAAATTGCATCGAGGCTGGCGTGTTTGCGCCTGGTGCACTCCTGCGCCCTGATGGCTCCGAAGTGAGGAACACAACACAGCCGCGCAACTGCACTGTCTGCCCCCAAGCTGCACTGAGTCACCAACCGTTCCCCCTACTAGACCCTGGAACCAACCGCTACGCCAAATTACAGAAGGTATACAATGACTTCCTCGTCGTGGGCTACTGCGGAACCAACGACGAGCAGTACACACTCACCTTCGTCGACGCGGGAACCCGCTACGTCTGGATCGTGAACGTAGAAGCACGCAGCAGAGCGTACGAGGTCTTCCGCCTCTGGCTGGCGCACGCGCAGCAGCAATCAGACGGCGCAGCGGAATTTCGCAGCAAGGAGATGCAGGACTATCTGGCGCAGAAAGGAATCGAGCACCATGTCTCCCTCCCTCACGCACACCAGCAGCAGGGTGTCGCCGAGGGAACAAACCGCACACTCATGACGAAGGTGCGGGCGTTGCTGAAGCAGTCAAAGCTTCCCCCGACGTACTGGACGTACGCAATGCACCACGCCGTACGGGTGCACAATCTGCTGTCTACCACCGCCATCACCGGCAATCTGTCCCCGCATCTGAAGTGGACAGGCACGAAGGGCGACACATCCATGCTCCGCGTGTGGGGATGCATGGTGCAGTACCGCCCGCCAACGTCAACCATCGGCAAATTCGCAAGCCGCGTGAGCTGGGGGATCCACCTCTGCATCAGTCGCGAATACAAGGCATGGATCATTCTGGACCTCATCAGCCATAAAATCACGAATGCGCGCGATGTGATCTTCTACGAGCGACTCTTCCTCGAGCAGTTCCGCGAAGACGAGCGGACAAACGCAAACCGCATTTACGCCAACGACAGGCATAGCTATGCCACACCCGAGGATGAAGCCGCCGCAACCATCCTGGAGCAAGACACCAGAGGCGAATTCACAGGAGGAAATCGCC